GAGTAATATGCTCTTAAAAAATCTGATATTGTGGAAAGTGCAAGTTAATATAAAGCAGATTGATTAAGATTAAAGTAAAATTTATACTAAACTTAATTAATTAGTTCTTTTTTCTTCTGATTGGTTAAATTCCAATCCAATCTCAATCGCTAGTATGATTATGATTTAAGTCAATTTCTTCAAAGCTGGCACTTTTGCTTTCTCTCTTTACAATATCCGAATATGTATATATATTTACCTCGTTTAAAAACTTTGGAAGATTTCAAACAATACTAATAAATCTGTTAAAGATTCGAGTTGATATCCTAATCTAACCTTTACACATATGGTATATCAAAAGCAAGCTGATAGTGCTGGTACGTAGGTGCAGAAGTTACGTAACAGACCGCCCAATTTTCGTGGCGCTCCGCTAGAACTACCGACTACGTTCAAAAAGTGCACTTGAGTGCACGTAGTTGGTAGTCCTAGCGGAGCGCCACAAAAATTGGGCGGTCTGTTACGTAACTTCTTATGGCGCTTTAAATTTGATTTTATTATTTGGATGTACTTACAAACCGGACATATGACGTCCGGTTTGACTAGTCAACCGGACACCGGACAAGATTACTGAAAACCTGACAGTCCAGGTCAAAACCGGACGGTTGGCAACCCTAACAGGGACGCGTTTATAAAAAATCTTTTCGCGAAATACAGTAATTTGACAAACAAAAAACTAGGTAAGGTTGCAGATATAAAGGGTTCACTTACGTTGAAGCCTGATGCTAAAAAAGTATTTTTGAAAGCTCGTCCTTTGCCTTTTAAACTGATACCACGGGTAGATAAAGAAATAGGAAACCTCGTAAACGAGAGAATATTCAAAGTCAAAGTCGAGACTTCAGAATTTGCAACTCCCGTTGTTCCAGTGTTGAAGGCGGATGACTCTGTCCGTTTATGCGGAGATTACAGTGTTACAGTTAATCCGCAACTACAAATTACCGAGCATCCGTTACCTACAATTGATGAACTGGTTTCTGAAATGTCAAACTGCACGGTTTTCGGTAAAATTGATATAAAATGGGCATTCTCGCACCTTGAAATGGACGAAGAAAGTTCACAAATCCTGACGATTAATACACATAAGGGACTTTACAAGGTCACGCGTTTAATGTACGGGATTGCATCGGGACCTGCTCTATGGCAAATCACAATGGAAAAAATATTACACGGAATAAAAGGCGTTAAAGTCATGCTCGATGATATTGCCTTAGCAGCAAGAAATGAATATAAATTTACAAAAATTCTGGAAAAAACTTTCAAACGTTTGAACGATTACAATATTAAAATAAACGAAAAGAAATGTGTATTTTTCGCCAGTGAGATTACGTATTGTGGTTATGTTATCGGCAAAAACGGTTTGCAGAAGGACAGTTCAAAATTCGACGCAATTAGGAAAATGCCGCGGCCTAGAAACGTTACTGAGGCTCAGTCGTTTATCGGTATGATAAACTACTACAGTAGATTTATTGAAAATACAAGTACATTATTGAGACCGTTATATGAATTGCTACAAAAGGATAAAGATTTCAAATGGACTGAGCGTCAGGAGCAGTCTTGGGTAGCGGCAAAAAAGGCTTTCACAAGCGATAAATGTTTAGCTTTTTATGATCCAACACTTCCGTTAGTATTACCAGAGAGAAGCCTGAGAGCGGCCATGCCCGCGATTTAGATGCAACTTTATTTTGAAGCGCCTCTATGTCCACAAAACGTGGACATTGAACTATGTAGCCAATGTCCACGATCGTGTCGGTAATGTCCACGACTTTTTGGTTCGAATCTTTCCTATGTCCATGATTTTTTGGTTCGAATCTTCCCTATGTCCATGTTTATCGAACCGTTAGACAGACAAAGACAGACTATCAATCCGTCGGTGCTTGTTCCACTACAAAGAAGAAAGATTCGCGGCGGGCCGGCGCGTCGACGATAGACACGAGCACAGACTTCTATATATTACACTAGACTGCTTACTTCGTCTCTTTAATGTTGTCAATAAGTATATACAACTTTTCGCACTTGCGCAGAATAACGCCCGCGCATG